AGTGGGTGCCAAGTGACAATCAGCAGATAACCTTAGGTTGGAGGACCAGAGTGATTGATTGATTGATTGATTCGCTTATGAGAAGTTAGTATTTAGGATATGAATTGTAGTACGTGTCTTAGGAAGATTCATGTCCCCTATGACCTTCTCTGACTTCCCATCCATGTACATGAAGGCTGTGTCCACATGACTGTGTCCCTTGTCCAAGAAAGTCTTCACCATCTCCGTCTGTTCAGCGTCAGCTCGGCTACCGAACGGCATAGTTCCCAACACGGACACCGGACACTTAGCACCAGACGACATGTTTCAAGGAAGAGTGTCGTAAAGTTGCTTCCTCGGTATAAAACGGAGCATGTAGTGCAATAGGCTATAACTGGCTTCTTGACTTATTTGCTTGGCTGCAGTTGAGTTAGTGCAAAGTTCGGTGTCTGTGGCTGTTTATTGACGGTTTAGACATGAAAGTTAATATTTGATCAAGTATCTTCATTGATTCATATGTAGGGCACTTGTCAGGCTAGATGTGGCATGTAATTTTTATATTTAACCACGAGGTGTCAGCATTCATCAATTTTACAATAAGGTGCTCATGAGGTCCTCCTGCTCCTGCAGTGAGCTTAGTCCGTGCAGGGCTGTATGGTAAAAGTGCATTTTCTTTGTTTGGTCACATGTACAATGAGCTGACAAGTCTGACAGAGTTGTTTGGTTTTCCCTGTGTTGTAATCGTAACTTAAGAGGCACGCATATGAGTTTTTTGTGATTATAGGCCTACCCCCCTTAAGGCTGGGTTGACCCGCAATAAGAGGCAAAAATTGCATGGGGTCCTTATTAAACCCCTCCTCTCACACATGTTCCCCAACCCATTCTGGCCAGAGTCCAAGATGTATATCTACAGTGGAATTGCTCTGTAAAAGGGTTGCTGCAACTTAAATTGGGATAATTTAATTAAGTGGAACTTTGTTGATGAGTATACAGTACATTAAAATGTATTGATAAAGGCCCCGTCTTAGACACGTGCGCTCGATTCTATGTGGTAACAGTGCAGGACCCATGGCCATTTTTATATTACTTGTGTTTTAGTATGTCAAATCGCCAAACAAATTTTAAAAATGATACACAGTGCAACTGCCACACAGATGACAATTCAATTTAAGCAATTTAAACCCTTTGGTGAAGATTAGGGGGTTTTCCTACATGGCTAAGATTTCATTGTAGTGGTGTTATTTGCAACAGTTGTTCAGCAACACTGAAGTGGTCTTTGATTCAAGTCTGGATTACCAATCAGGCAAAGTGGGCAACTGCCTTATGACCCCTGACCCCAAGGGTCCCTCTAAAGCACCATGTTTAGCAATTTGCCTCAGTCCATTATCAGCTGCTTTAGGCAGTTTTGAGGGTTTAGAGCTCTTATTTAAATGTTTGTAGTTATTTTACATTTGATGTATTGCATCAAAGTTGGTGTAAAGGTAATTTTCATATTACTCATGTCTGGTGTCTGTGTATACAGTGAACCTGCCATGTGGTCTGATTGGTCCCAGAAGCATATTTTTACTCTGTGGCTTCCACACAGGTTAATCCAGCTATGGCTGTAGGTTTTTTATGGTTCAGAAATAACCCATACATCTTGGATGAGCTCCGATATGTCTGAAAACCAGTGATCTAATTAGAACAACATGCTGTATCTGATGTTCTGGGAGGGTGCACAGACAGTGGTGACCCGAGACTCTTTGGGGTTATGAACACACATGCGTGCAATGAACGCTCTGTTTAGAGAGCAGCAGTAGTCAGTCTTGGCGGCTGACCCTTTGACCTCACCATCAGCTGCTTGCCTTGCAGGGTGACAACTAGCTGCTTCAGGCCTCCTCATCCCTGAAGTCAACCCCAAACATCCCCCGTTGCTCCTCAGAGGATAGTATATTACTCCGTGTCCTACATGGCCATGTGTACCATGGTTTGCATTATGCTAAGTGTAGATGCCTTGCGCTTTTCTTCATCACTTGTTGACTGAACCAAATAAAAACATGGTTGGAGAAAATCCCCTTATAAAAAGCCTTTGTATAAATGCATCCCTCTATGCAACTTCAGATTTCTCGAGAGCGCACAAAAAGCACGGCCAACAGAAGAGTTTGATGCGTCTGCTAAAGCTCCAAATAAAATCTCTTTCCGTCAGTGCACTTTGCTATTGCGTGGATTTCAGAAGTCGCTGAAAGCTTCAGTAGTAGATATTTGCATCCTCCACCCCCCTAAACCCCTGCCATCATTACCAAGTTTATGTAGGGAGACAGAAAGCGCTCCACGAGTTTCTGGCCGCCAGTCTAACATCTGCACTGACGCAGCGAAGGTGAGCTGCGGTTTGCGGTCGGTGTCACAGCGGCTCAGGGCGAGGAAACTACACTGCATGTCAATGGCTGCGTCATTTTTGGATCGCGCTGGTCATTTCCACACAGAATATCGCTTACACGCGTTTTAGGGTTCTTCAAATGAACTGCGCGCATTTCTAAGTACATTTTTTGTTTATTAGACTTTGTTCGGGAAATGTATGAGTTATACTCATGGATGAATTTGTGAGTAATTGACATGTTTTAAAACATTACGTAGTGTAATAGAAGAAGAGGAAAATGATTAGTGTTGTTTTTTCCTTTTTACTACTATTTATTAAAAATGCTAGTGCACTGCGTTTGGATATCTCCAACAATCTCCAACCTTATATGTGAGTAACCTCCTTCCTGTGTTTTATTGTTTATAGGCTATTTGCAGTGCTTGGATTTATCAGTCACACATTCAGTAGGGGTGATGTTAACTTTTAATTTTTCCTTAGATGTTTTACAGTATTTCTTTGAAGTTGGAGTGTTAGACAACTGCTGGTTCATCTGCACATGCATAAACTTGTGTCAAAGACTGAGGCAGGATGCAGCCTTGTGAAGTATTTTCCTCTTGTTTCAAAGGGATCAAACAGCAGCTGGGTGACAGATCTATTCTGAAAATGCAGGGAATTCAATTTGGTAGACTATTGTGCACTCTCATCATGGTCTTCACTGCATGGCATCACTGTAACTGACATGATTATACTGTATATTGGATTCATGTGGATGGTCTGTGCTGCATTCCTGACTTGTCAGATGCTGTTTGTTTTATGTCCTTCCAAAGAAAGAGCCGCTCAGTTAGGAGTCATTTTAAACCACAAAATAATAAGGAACTTTAAATTATGTGAGAAGAGTTTCTGTTGTTACCTGCCACTTATAATACAGGTTTTCTTATGTGCCCAGTACATCACAGTTGAAGGCTTACTGTATTATACCTTGGGGTAAAAAAATGTTAACTGTTCTCATTTTCTGCTGACATTCAGTCGCATACATACAAGTGAAAACATGCATTTTCTGCTGAACTTCCAGTGAAATCACTGCACAGTAAATGTTTCATGTGAATAGCCCTGAAAATTGTGGCATTTTTTTTCTTTATTGTAAAAATATTGTTCAGTGAAATGGTAACAGGTTTTTTTTTTGTTTTTTTTTGCTTATATGCTTTTTTTTCTTGTCTGGTTTCTCCTGAGTAGAAGCAGCCCCTAAAACACTTTCTGGTAACACAAAAATATTCACTTTAAGTTGAACTGCGGGTATTATTTTGTGCTTTGTAGCTCAGTATTTTAAAATGTAATGTGAGGAACTCTCCTTTTAATCTTTACAGATACCAAAACCAGACATCATAAGCAGGCTTGCACCTCAACAGGCATTACACTTTTGTCAAGTAGAAAATACCCTTGTAAGATTTGACCATCTGTGTATGAGGAATTGCCCTGCTGCCCTTTGTACATGTGTAAAAACGGCTCAACATTTTGACCTGTCAAGTAATTTTACTACTGTTTTTGTTTCAGGCCCAATGTGTGTGTGGAGAGGGAGATGACGCTGGTCGCCCAGAGGCAGCCGTGCGTTCAGGCCTTCACACGCATGGTTAAAGTGTGGAAGCAAGGCTGTGTGGGACAGTCATGGTGCATGGGATACGAGAGGAGGTGAGTAATACACCTCGTTTGTATCTTCTACTTTGTTTCTGTAGTTGGAACCTCTGAATCTGTCACACAGACATTTCCAGCTTCCCCTGCAGGGCTTGTAGTGCTTTGCTGATTAAGCCCTGGCCACAGACGAGCATTAATAAATGGTTTTTGCAGTCACCATGAGTCATGCAAAAGTTTTATTAGTTTCAGGAGTTTCTCAATGTACCGCTGACACTTGCTTTCTCCAGGTTGTATACCATGCTACAAAGCTTGTTTTGAAGGCAGACAAGGCCACAATTACTTGCTCTAAACAAAATGTGTGTTTCCACAGTGTGTAATGACTGTAGAGCAGTGAATGGCGTCTCAAAGTATAGGGATAGGCGCAGCTCTCTGAAGTAGAGTCTGCCACCCTCATACTTTAAAAAGGTGCCTTAAAATGTCTGGGAAATGTTGACTGAGTATTATACTGAGTGTTATCTAAAAGGCTCGGAGTCGTTTGATCACAATGCATCTTAGTTTTTCCTAATCCTTCAGTATTCAGTCTCATGAAACAAGGTATATGTATAAAATATTGCTGTATAATCCCTCAGCACGTGTATATGCTCTTTCCATTGCATTTTGTCATTTCTTGTAGTGTTTCATTATTTTTAGATTTGTCCAGTTTTTAATCTAATATTTATGTTAACAGGACAGCATACTACACGGCATACAGACAAGTGTACAGACAGGATTATCGCACTGTGTACAAGTGCTGCCCTGGATGGTCTCAGCTTAACGGAGAAGCCGGGTGTCTGTATCGTAAGTGTCGTCATTTCATACATGTTTCTATTCCATATAAAATGCAAAAAGAAATTTTCTTTAGTTTAAAACTAAATGTGCAGGTGGGTGTGTTTATTATTAGGCAATATATATTTTCTTGACTCAGCAGGAGGAAGGATGGTTCAAACTGGCAGGAATACTTACTGACTTTCACAAAAAGAACAATGAAAAATAAATGAATCTCGCTGCTGTAATAACAATCCACGGGTCTATGGACAAATAGTTCTGATGGTCACAGTGGCTGTCAGCTTATCTCATTGTGGATAAACTTGGCTCCACACTGCTGAGACCAAGAAGCCTTTTTTGATGGGATTTTTACACCCATTGATCCCGAGCACATAGCCTGCAAAGCCTTCCTGTAAACAGTTTGTCCCCTGGCTGGAAGATTGACCAGAAAGCTTCCATTTCCCTATCCTCACCTGGAAACGCTCTGTGTGCTTGATGGTCCGCCCTTACACCCCTAGTCCAGCCATATTACTCTCTGTAGGGAAGTGGCTGGGTTGGGGTGTGTGAGAAGATCTCTTGGATGAGCCTGTGTCATCAGTGTCTTATTATAGCATCTATGCTCTCTCTTCAAAGAGCCCTTTGTTTCCAGGGTGAATGTTGCAGTGTTAAATGATACAATGGTGCATTACACCGTCTGCTCTCAATAAGCCAGGTTTGTTTTAAAACACTCTTAAAGAGACATTCCTCAGTATTGCCCATTGTCTCGCCTCGCTTTATTTGATGGGGGACTTTTTTCCTCTTTTTGTGCGACAGTGGCTGCTTTCGTTCGTCGAGAGGCGAGGCTTTTATCTCTGTAACCAAAGACGTGGCAGCACTTTGAGATGGGACAAACTAATCACCCTTTTCTCTCAGCCATTGAACCAGGATAAAAGGAAGCTCACACACAAGCCCCCCTCTCCCACGCCTGTGCACTTTGCTATGCAACTATCTGTACTGTACCTCAGTCAACACATTGTAATCAGTGGGGCTGTTTTCAACAGCATCTCTGACATCCAAAAGGAAAACCTGCTTTGCAAAATGTACTGCTTTAGTAAATCCTCTGAAAACTCCCCAAATGAGGGAAAAGATGAGAATACTTTGTTTAGAGATGGTGATTTAGTGTCTGGCACTTTGAGGTTTCTTTTTGATGCTTGTCTCTCCACCCTCTTTCTCTCGCTGTGTGCAGCCTAATAAAATGTCAGTGTAATGCAATTAGGCTAATGACCTGTGGCCACTGTGAGGCAGCTGAGCAAAATGGAGGGTCTAATCATGGTGTCAATACAGCATACACAGTGGATAGGAAGTGGCTTTCAACTTTGCCCTTCCTTTTGTTCATCCACCCATTGTGCAGATGTTGATGTCCTCTGAGTTTTGCAGTTCAAGCACTGAGTTGTTTCTTTGCAGCATTAGCACATATTTGGACGAAGAATATGCCACAACAAAGAAAACATCTGGTCCATTTCACATTTTATTCTACTATTTTGACCCCCTCTCTTCTGTTTTCCATATCCACTTCAGACTACTATCAGATCATTTTAAGGGTTTATGAGTTTTCCACTGACACAGTAGCATTGATTCAAAGTTCTTCAGAAGTTTATAAATATCCAGTTTTTGTTTTCCAAGTGAAGAGTCAAGTTGAAGACAATTTTAAAGGCGGTTCTTTCACCATGTACATATGCTTCTCTGCTGAAAAGCAGGTTTAGGGCTGCAACTAATGGTTACTTTCATTGTTGCGTAATTTGTAAAATCAATTAATCATTTAGTCCAGACTGGTTTTTGTGGGAGACATGCTTGCAAAATCCTTTTCATTGTAGAAGCTGGTTCCAGAAAATGGTTAACATTTTTGCTCAAAAAAAAAAAAAAAACTGTTACCAAAATAGATGTGGGTTCTATTTCAGATTTTAGGAACACATGTATTCAGAGTTTTTACAATCTTGTCAAAGTTTTAGTCAGGTCACTTGTGGAGACGGAACCTAGTCTTTGAAACCACCAACCATCTGAGTGCAACTAGAGTGATTTTGTTGGCTCATTGACCATCGGGTTCTCCTGAAGCTGAAGAGCTCTTAACTTTGTGTTGGTGACTTCCTCCACTTAAACCCATTGGACAGCCTCTCAGTCACTGAGTTAAGCCATTTACGCCAGCCACTTGGCCAGGTGAGGACGGACAGGGTCAGCCGGGAGTGGAATCGAACAGTTATGTTGATTGATTGATTGGCGACAGTGAGCTTTGTGCCAGAGGTTAAGGAGCAGGGACAAATGGCTCCTCCATTTTGTCGTCCTCGTTAACTGCTGAATAGACACTGGCCTCCTTTTGTGATGGGACCAGTCTGGTGAAGGTAGCTTCACGTGAAATGGGCCCCATGGCCAGAGGAATGAGGAAATGGTCCTCTTATTTAGCCATGGGTGGTCTTTTAGTGTGTGCTTGTGTGTCATGAAACATGCTACTTACTGTCAAACAGGTAAACATGAACAGATCAAGGTTTGTGTTGTGTTGTCCATGTTAAGTTAAAGAGCATGCAACTCTCACTGGTGGCTTGTTGTAAAGTAAACTTAATGTGCTGTTCCTGTATGTCCTGTGAGTAGACATAACTTAGAACAAACCTCCTCTGCTCGCTTGGAACCAAAAATGGTACTAGGTACTATCCCCAACATTTGACCGAAGGAAACACAAATAAGGGGGGTCAAGTTGAGCCGGTACCAGGCGGTGGAAAGGGGCTTAAAACATTCTTGCTGTGCATTCTTGCCGTGCATTATTGTGCTTCCTTTGTCAAACCATCCTAGTGTTTAGCTCAAATAATATTTAAGTCTTTCAAAGAAACCTGTCAGAGATCTGACATAGCTAGGTCTGGATTTTAGAAAAACGCTTTGAAATGCAAAACATAACTCATTGCCTCAGAATACAGTGTTCATCTCTGCCCATACCAGTTACGGCACCAAACGGGGTCCTGAGTTCAGGCTTTGTGTCTGTGAATTGCCCTAAATGTGGTCTCCCTCTGGGGGTTAAACAGAGTGGACCCTAAACAAGACAGGGCTGCCTCTGTGTTGCTGTGGTCATCCCCTTCAGAAGCTGTGAGGGTGACACCTGCTCGTTGGTTTTCCGTTTCTCGGCGTGAGTCGCTGGCCCCTGCACCATTTCTTATTTTTGTGAAAACTGCTAATACTCTTAGGTGTTTTTGTAATAGAGTTGAAGACTTCAGTGTCATCTGAGTGGGTTTTATCCCCCGCTGCATGCCACATTAAGGACTTATTTCAATGAAGTTTAAACAGTGCACAGGATGGAGCAGCCCAGAAATGCCATGGGTAGCTGCCAACAACCCTGTGTCTCATGTCTCAGAAGCAGGGATGTACATTC